TGTCTATGGCTTTTTTCACACTAGAACAACAAAGTTGTTGTGACAGGGATCAGAAGGCCCCCCAAAAGCCTAAAATATTTATTATCTGGCCGTTTATTGAGAATGTTTGCCAATCCCTTATCTAAAGTATTTCTTATTGTTCTAGGTGGAAATTATACTCTTTGGCACAACCTTCTACTCTTCCCCATTTTCTTCCCCTTTAGATCTGCTTTTTACTACCTCACCAAGTACCCCATTATTTCCATTACAGGCATATCTCATTTTATTGCACTTCACTTTGTTGCACTTCACAGATAATGTGGTTTTTAGAAATTTTACAAATTTTACAAAAGGTTTGTGACAACCCTGCATTGAACCAAGTCTATTGGCACTATTTTTCCAATAGCATGTGCTCATTTCATGTCTCTGTGTCACATTTTGGTAATGCTGACAATATCTCAAGCTTTTTCATTATTGTTATATCTGTTATGGTGATCTGTGGTCATCAGGGAAGTTTGATGTCACTATTATAATTGTTTTGGGCACCACAAAACACACCCATGGAGGCAGCGAACTAAAATGTATATATTCCAACTGCTCCACTTCCTGACTATTTCCCTACCTCTCCCTCTCTCCCCACAGCCTCCCTGTTCCCTAGGACACAGCAATATTGAAATGAAGCCAATTAATAACCCTACAATGGTCTCTAAGTGTTCAAGTGAAGGAAGAGTCACACATCTCTGCCTTTCACTCAAAAGATAGAAATGATTAGCTTAGTGAGGATGGACTGTCAAAAGCCTAGATAAGCCAAAAGTTAGGCCTCTTGTGCCAAACAGTTAGCTAAATTGTGAATGCAAAGAAAATATTCTTGGAGGAAATTAAACGTGCTACTCCAATGAATATGTGAATGATAAGAAAGTGCAAGAGCCTTATTGCTGATAGGGAGAAAGTTTTAGTGGTCTGGATAGAAGATCAAACCAGCCACAACATTCTCTTAAGTCAAAATCTAATCCAGAGCAAAGCCCTAACTCTCTTCAATTCTATGAAGGCTAAGAGGTGAGAATGCTGCAGAAGAAAAGTTTAGAACTGACATAGGTTGGTTCATGAGGTTGAATGAAAAAAGTCAACTCTATAACATAAAAGTGCAAGATCAAGCAGCAAGTACTGATGCAGAATCTGTAGTAAATTAGTCAGATGATCTAAGTAAGATCATTGTTGAAGGTGGATACACAAAACAACAGATTTTCAATGGGGACAAAGCAGCCTTCTGTCAGAAGAAGATGCCATCTAGGACTCTTACACCTAGAGAGGAGAAGTCAATGTGTGGCTTCAACGCTTCAAAGGACAGGCCAACTCTCTTGTTAGGGGCTAATGCAGCTGGTGATTTTAAGTTGAAGCCAATGATCATTTACCATTTTGAAAATCCCAGAGCCTTTAGGAATTATGCCAAATCTACTCTGCCTGTGCTTTATAAATGGAACAACAAAGCCCGGATAACAGCACATCTTTTATAGCATGGTTTATTAAATAATTTCAGCCTACTGAAATAGGAGTAAAATTAAGAAAAAATGGAAACAAAAAAAGTAACACAAAGTGAAGAGAAGTTAAATATCAATAATAGTTATTAAAATAATTTATAATCTTCTATAATTAAATAATATGGTATTAGGGAATGATTAGCCAGACCAATAAGAATATTAAAATATGCTCAAATGTGAATGAAATTTTTTTTATAGTTTTCTTTTTAGTTTTTGAGTTAAAGTCCATTTTGTGTGATGTAAGTATAGCTACCCCTGCCTAGTTTAGTTTCTATTTGTATGAAATATCTTTTTCCATCCTTCTACTTTCAGTTTATGTGTGTCCTTAAGGTGATAAAGTGAGTTTCCTCATAATGGTGGCATGTAGTTTTAATCCATTCAGCCACTCCATGTCCTTTAATTGGAGAATTGAACCTGCTTACATTCAAGGTGATTATTGATAGGTAAGGACCTACTACTGTCTTTTTATGGTCACTATATAGTGATGAAAGGGTCAATTCATCAAAAGCATATAACAATTGTAAATATATATGCACCTAACATTGGAGCAACAAAATGTATAAAGTGAATATTAGCAGATCTGATGGGAGGGATAGACAATAATAGAATAATGGTGGGGAACTTCAATAACCCATTTTCAACAATGAATAGATCATCCACACAGAAAATCAATGAGGAAACAAATGACTTGAACTATACTTTGGACCTAAAGGACTCAATAGGCATATACAGATTCCTCCCAATGGCAACAGAATACATATTCTCAAGTGCACATGGAACATTCTCAGGATGAACCATATTTTAGGCCACAAAACAGGTCTTAAACTTAAGAAGATTGAATTGTATCAAGTATCTTTTCTGACCACAATGGTATGAAACTAGAAATCAATAACAGGAAGAAATTTGGAAAATTCACAAATACATGGAAATTAAACAACACGCTTCTGAACAACTAATAGGTCAAAGAAAAAATTAAAAGGGAAATAAAAAAAAAATCCTGAAATAAACTAAAATGAACATAGTACATACCAAAACTTATGGGATGAAGCAAAAGCAGTTCTAAGAGGGAAGCTTATAGCTATAAATGCCTACATTAAGAAACTAGCACTCTGGGAGGCCGAAGCAGGAGGATTGCTTGAGGTCAGGAATTCAAGGACCAGCCTGAGCAAGAGCGAGACCCCGTCTCTACTAAGAAAAGAAAAAATTAGCCAGGTGTAGTGGTGCATGTCTGTAATCTCAGCTACTCAAGAGGCTGAGACAGAAGGATCACTTGAGCCCAGGAGTTTGAAGTTGCTGTTAGCTATGATGATGACACCACGGTATTCTAGCCTGGGCAACACAGCTAGACTCTGTCTCCAAAATAAACAAAAGTAAAAAAGAAGAAAGATCTCAAATAAGCAGCCTAACATTGTACCCCAAGGAACTTAGAGAAAAATAAGAACAAACTAAGCCCAAAGTTAACAGAAGGAAGGAAATAATCAAGCTCAGAGAAGAAATAAATGAAATAGAGACTAGAAAAACAACAGAAAAGATCAACAAAACTAAGGGTTGGTTTTTGTGAAAAGAAAAACAAAATTATTTTATTTTATTTTTCAATAACTGTTTCAGTTCCAAATTAATTGACAAGCCTTTAACTTGACTAAAAAAAGGGAAGTCTCAAATAAATAAAATCAGAAATGAAAGAGGAAACATCACAACTGATACCACAGAAATACAAGGATCATGAAACTACTACAACCAAACATACACCATAAATAGGATAACCTAGAAGAAATGGATACATTCCCAGAAACATACATCCCACCAAGATTAAATCATAAAGAAATAGAAAATCTGAACAGACCAATAATGAGTAAGGAGACTGAATCAGAATAAAAAGTCTCCAGGCATGGTAGTGCACACCTGTAGTCCCAGCTACTCGGTAGGCTGAGGCAGGAGGATCGCTTGAGCCCAGGAGAAAAGCAATCAGAAAAAAGCCCAGGACCTGATGGCTTTATTACTGAATTCTACCAAACATTAAAAGAAGACCTAATACCAATCCTCTCAAATTCTTCCAAAAAATCAAAAAAGAGAGAATACTTGCGTACTCATTTTAGGAAGCCAGCATTACCCTAAAACCAAAGCCAGGCAAAGACACTCCAAGAAAAGAAAATTACAGGCCAATATCCCTGATAAACATAGAGCAAAAATCATCAAAAAAAATTAGCAAACTGAATTCAACAGCACATTAAAAGAACCATTTCTATAAGGGGGAAAAATACCTCTAATAATGGAGTTATCAGATTAAAAAATACTCGCCAAGCCCTAAATTTTAATAGATATTGAAAGATCACTTTTTAAAAAGTTTTTAAAGATGCCCAATCCTGACAACAACAAAAGTACACATCTCCCTCACAACACTGCGTGTTAACCATCATTACTTCTTGCTCTTGTTTGCCCAGGAAGCCCTGGTTTATACCTGTTCTCCTATCATAAGCATTAATAGTGCCCCTTTCACTTTTAAAATGGTCCCAGTTTGGATGATACACGGTCCTCTTAGTGTAAATGAATTTTAAAACTGATTATGTATCATCTCTTCCCTGGAAGACAGTCTAGCTTCTAGAGGGCCCGGTAAGCTTCTGGAAGGTTCTGGCATTCTCCTCCTCTCTCACTGTTCACCTGCCCTGACTACCTTAGAAGCCATAGAAATATGGAACATGGCTCTAGCTGGGGACCTCCTTCCTGTGCAGATACATGTAGAACATGTCAATAAAAGTATGCCTATGTGTTTAACCTTGCTGAAAGACAAACATGCACCCACACACATACACACACAAAGCCAAATTTGTAACTATGTTATAATCCAAGTGACAGTCCCTAGCTGTCCATCATCTAATATGCCATGGATGTTGATTACAGGATCCTAGTCCTGGGAGAGGTGTTGGGCAGTATGAACTTTGAGCACCTTCAATGTTGAGATTCTGAGATTACAGTAGTAATAATAGACATTTATTATTTATTGAGGACTTACTAAGCATCAGGGACAATTCTAAAAATTTTACCTATAAAATTTATTTTGTACTCAGAGTCACTCAAACAATAATTCAGTCACTATGATTAGATAATATTAACAAATGAGGAAACCAAGGCACAAACAGATTAAGTTAGTTGTCCAATATGTCATACATAGTAAATGGAGAAGCCCAGATTTTACCTAAGGTAGTCTGACTCAGGAGCTGTTACATCTCCATTCTCTGCTGCCTTCTAGTACATGTTTTCAAGCATTGAAAATCTGAATACATTTTAGATTTAATGTCCATTTCTTTCTTAATAATTCTGGTTACATTCCTGAAAAGTTGCTTAATGGGAAAAGGAAAAAGTCATGCAGAAAATTCACGCAATATAATTTGAAATCTTACCATTGAAGAAAGTTCCTCCTTCTCACTCTGGAAGATCTATCTTTTTGGTTACCCCTCATATGCTATGAGAAGAGAAAATAAATTTACCTTTTCAAATTCTTTCTAAGAAAAGTCAATGAAGACTTACCTAATCTTTAAAAATCTTAAAAATAAAATATTCATGAATAATCAAAAGATTTCTATTCTGAGATATTAGTATTATTTCTATTTTAATATTTAGGGCTCAAGTAGCTTAAGGTAGTAGCAACTTGAGTATTAATTTGACAAAGAAGAAAAGATACCACAAGACTAGTTGTCTCCAGTGACAGAAAACTTGTAGATGCTTAATGAATCTCTAATCCCAGCAAATAATCTCTGATTCATTTTCTAGGAAAGAAAGAAGTGTGGACCAAGAAGGGCACTATTACTACCACTCCTGGAAGATAACTTCACAGGTAAGGGGCATCATGGTAAAATGACACACAGTATATAAAACATTTTATAGGTTCCATATTTTCTTATTCCACAAGTCAGAAGTCTGCTTATTCTATGCCTTGTATAAACACTCTTAAGACTGCCATAGATAAACAGGTTACCAAAAATCTCCCAATTTGTAAGTCCAGAGAACACTCATGAACCTCTCTATCTTCATACTAAGACCCTCCTCTCTTGATCACAATGACACCACTGTCTCCTGTTTTTTCATCTTCTTCTCAGTTCCTTTTGCAAAACCCTGTTTCCCTTATTCAACCCTTCAATGTAGGCAGTTCCCTTGGACTCTCTCCTGGGTGGAAAAGAATCCTGCCTTGTGAATTTGATTACATTTTATACCTTGCAATAAACCTAATTATTTTCAATCTGTAAATAGATAAATTTTTCTACCTAAAATAAATAAATACCCAATCTTGTACTCTATTCAAAGTATTCCTCCTGGGCCAATGTGCTGTCAAATTTAAAATGGAGGGAGAAAAATTGCAATGCAGCATCATTTTCTGCAGTCCCCTGGTTTGATTTCAACCCTAGGAAAAAGCAGCAATTGCCCTGCATGTTAGATCCCTTGTTGAAACAGTTTTTTGAAATATCTCGTGATCCTATTACTACCAAAACAATTTCTACATAACAAGGTCCATTGCTGGCAATGGAAGGCATATATGCTTAACAGTTCATCTTTGCCCCTGCGAGGTTTACCCTGCTTCTTGTTCAGATTGTGTAATGTGAAAGTATGGTTCCCAGGCTTTTCTGCATTCCCTATCATTATGCCCCTGTGGCCCAGAGCACCACAATAATCTGGATGCCTCCCTTCTCTGCAAAGTTTTATTTTTAATGGTAATTATAAAGAACTTTGAAGTACCCTTTCCTCAGCCACATTATTCGGATCTAAAATTTTCTGTGGTCCAATTATTTAGGTGAAGAGGGGATCATGGTTTTGACCTCCACAATCCAGGCCTGGGCAGAACATTGGTAGTGCCTGCCAGGAACTATGGGTGATGAGCTGAGGAAAGCCCAGACTTGAGTCCTAGATGAGGGGGAGCCTCATGAGGAAAGAGAGTTTAAAGAATCAAGATGAGGAGAGTGGATAGAAGGTCAGCTGAGGAACTAGGTAAAATTAAGTGAGTTACACTGGGCAAGCCTATAAGGATTCCTTAAGCCAAAGGTCATCTTTTGTTAAGTTGCTTTTGTGGAGTGGGAGTTGGAAGAAATGGGGAAGCTATTAATATCCCCAATAGGGTTGGAAATATTTAATTCTTCTCTGTTAATATTGTGTTTTTATCAATACTAGCTTAGTTATTGAGGTTACCAAAATGCGTCTTAGAAATGAGAACAATGAAATCTGTTGTCATGTGTCCTACTCATACTTTAATTTTGATGCTCAGAACAAATATGGGGATGATTTCCAGCTATTACTGAAAGAGTCTACACCATTCTATCAAATAAATAAAAGCACTTGCCAGAAGCATGCCAGTGGCGAGGAGGAACCATTACGCCTCTTCCATAAATATAGGCTTGACGTCTGTTCAAAATGATGGTGAATTTAGAATTAGATTTATTTTAAGAATAGTTAAGGTGAAGTTGGAGTTCTTTAATTAGATAGAATATATTTATGCAATACTTTATTATTGCTTTATTAAATTAAATTCTCTTTTCAGCTATCCACCAGGAGAATTAAAGCATTGACTAAAAAATAATTAAAATAAATGGAATATCATTTAAAATATCAATAAGTTAGCGATAGAACTAACAATTGCAACATGGCTAGGAAGTCCACAGGGCTGGGGAAAGAGAAAGGATTTCAAAGACTTCCATCCTCTCCCATCAAAGTGAGACAGGGAATATGCCCACAAACACAGTTTACCACTGCTACAGCCTACAGAGAGCTAGCAACTGAGAAAACCACCACACTAAGGACATCTATAACTACGGCATTTATCCAGAACCTATATCACCATCAAAGTACCCACAAACAAAGCCAAATATTCTTACCCAACATATGCTACAAATATACTCATATGATGGAGGCAGGATATTCAAATCAGGAAAGAGGAGGTCAAACTAGAGCTTTTTTGCTGATGATATGATCTCTATCTAGAAAACCCCAAAGATTCTACTAAGAGACTCTGGAATTGGTAAATAAATTCAGCAAAGTTTCAGATTAAAAAATCAATGTACACAAATTAGTAGCATTCCTATACAACAATAATAGTCAAGCTGAGAGTCAAATCAAAGACTCAATGTCATTCACGATAGCCACAAAGAAAATAAAATTCCTAGGAATATACTTAACCACAGAGTTGAAAGATCTCTACAAAGAGAAGTATGAAACACTGAAGAAAGAAATTGCAGATGACACAAACACATGGAAAAACATATCTTTATCATGGATTGGTATAATCAACATTGTTAAAATTTCTATCCTACCCAAAGTGATTTACACATTCAGTGCAATCCCCATCAAATATGACCAATGTCATATTACACAAATCTAGAAAAATAATTCTACGCTTTGTTTGGAATCAATAAAGAGCCCCAATAGCCAAAGCAATCTTAAGCAAAAGGAACAAATCTGGAAGCATCATATTACCAGACTTCAAACTATACTACAAGGCTCTAGTAACTAAAATAGCATTGTACTGGCACAAAAATAGAGACATAGACCAATGAATGGAACAGAACAGAAAACTCAGATATAAAACCAGCCACATACAACCAAATGTTCTTTGACAAAGCACACAACAATATACACGGAGGAAAAGAATCCCTATTCCCTAAATGGTGCTGGGAAAATTGGATAGCCATATGCAGAACGATGAAACACAATCCATATCTCTTACCACTCATAAAAATTAATTCGAGATGGATAAAAGAGTTAAATGTAAGTCATGAAACCATAAAAATTCTAGAAGAAAATGTTAGAAAAACTCTTCTAGATATTGGCCTAGGCAAAGAATTTATGAAGAAGACCCAAATGGCAATCAAAGCAATAAAAAAATAAATAAATGGGATTTGATTAAATTAAAAGGCTTCTGCACAGCCAATGAAATAATCAACAGAGCAAATAGACAACCTACAGAATGTGAGAAAATATTTGCAAACTATACATCCCACAAAGGACTAATAACTAGACTCTAAAAGGACTGAAGCAAATCAGCAGGAAAAAAATCAAACAACCCCATCAAAAAGTGGGCAAAAGACATGAACAGAAACTTTTCAAAAGAAGATAGACAAATGGCTAATAAGCATATGAAAAAATGCTCAATGTCACTAATCATCAGGAGAATGCAAATTATAATAAAACCATAATGAGCTATCACCTTATCCCTGTTAGAATGGCTTTTATTAAAAAGTCTAAAAATAATAGATGCTGGTGTGGATGCAGAGAGAAAGGAATGCTTTTACACTGTTGGTGGGACTGAAAAAGCACAACCTCTATGGAAAATAGTATGGAGATAACTGAAAGAATTAAAAGTAGACCTACCATCTGATCCCGTAATCCCAGGTATTTACCCAAAGGAAAAGAAGTCATTTTATCAAAAAGACAACTGCATTCAAATTTTTATTTCAGCACAATTGCAAAGATGTGGAATCAATCCAAGTGCCCATCAATTCATGAGTGGATTAACAAAATGTGGTATACACACACACACACCATGGAATATTACTCAGCCACAAAGAAGGATGACCTAATGCCTTTTGCAACAATTTAGATGGAAGTGGAGACCATTATCTTAAGTGAGGTATCTAAAGAGTGGAAAACAAACACCACGTGTACTCACTATTACATTGGAACTAATCAATGAGTACACGTGTGCATGGAGGAAAGTAAAACTCAGTAGAAATCAAGCAGGGGGAAGGGGATGGGTAATAAGCTACTTAACAGGTAGAATGAACACTATTTGGGTGACGGGCACACTTATAACCATGACTCAAGCTTTATAAAAGTGATCCATGCAACCAAAAATATTTGTACCCCCATAATACTTTGAAATATCCCCCAAAACTCCAATTGCTTATTTATTTTCTGTGTCCCCTTAATAGGATATAAGCTCCATGAAAGTAAGGATCGGACCTTTCTTATTTACCATTATATCCCTAATGACAATGACACTGCCTAGTGTATAATAAAGAATAAATATTTTCTAAAACAATAAATGAGCATCAGGAGGCATTAAGTACATAGGCAATCAAAGGTTTATATTCTCTAACATTTAGAACTTTTAAAAGTGCTTTAATTCGGCTGGGTGCGGTAGGTCACATCTGCAATCCTAGCACTCTGGGAGGCTGAGGGGGGAGGAGTACTTGAGCAGAGGAGTTCAAGACTAGCCTGAGCAAGAACAAGATCCCATCTGTACTAACAAGAGAAAATTAGCCAGGCATCATGGCCCACACCTGACTCAGGAGGTTGAGACAGGAGGATGGCTTGAGCTGTGAGTTTGAGCTCACAGCAACCTCAAACTCACAGCCTCCCGAGTAGCTGGGACTACAGGCATGCGCCACCATGCCCGGCTAATTTTTTCTATATATTTTTAGTTGGCCAATTAATTTTTTTCTATTTTTAATAGAGATGGGGTCTCACTCCTGCTCTGGCCGGTTTCAAACTCCTGACCTTGAGTTATCCGCCCTCCTTGGCCTCCCAGAGTGCTAGGATTACAGGCGTGAGCCACCGTGCCTGGCCAGATTAGTAATTTTAAAATTTAATAACTAAAAATAATCCAAAACAATAGTAATAATCCAAAACAACAGTAATAATCCAAAAATAACAAAACAATAATATCTACTAACAGCAAAATAACAAAAAATATGGATAGCGCAAGATATATTTTTCAGTTTGCATAGTAAGTAGTCAATAGTTAACAGCTAAAGTTACTAAATTGCCAGGCATGGTAGGTAATGCCTGTAATCCCAGTGCTTTGTGAGGCTGAGGCAGAGGATTTTTTTGAGGTCAGGAATTCGAGACCAGCTTTGGCAACACAGTGAGACCCCATCTCTAACAAAGAAATTTTTTTTAATTAGCCAGGCATGGTGGCACATGCCTGTAGTCCCAGCAACTCGGGAGGCTGAGGCAGGAGAATCAACTGAGTTTAAGGTTTAGTGAGCTATCATGACACCACTGAACTCTAAAGAAGTAGAACTCTGACGGAGTGAAACTCTGTCTCTAAAAACAAACAAACAAAAACCCCAAAAAAACATGAAAAGGGGGTATAACCATCTAATTCAAATATATGGAAGTAACCAACAGAAGAACTACAAATATAAGTGTTAGAGGTAAAGTGGGGGATGAGAAAGTTACACTCTTTCTTTTCATTTAACAATTTTCTGCACTTTTTGAACATTTTTCCTTACCATGTGGATATACTATTTTTAGTACATAAAAAAGGTAAAACACTTCCTGATGACTAGTTAGCATTCTCATCAATGGTATTATCCCAAAGTGCATTCTTACTAAGGATAAAATGAACATACTCATGCAGGAAAAAGTACAAGGCGCAGCAATACCAAATGAACGCTGTAAGTAATATTGCAATGAGTAGAAGCATCACCATTCCAAACATGTCAACTGAAATATATGAAAAAGTATATTTTAAGTTAACAGAAGGTCAATAATTTCTCATATTTTCATCTTATTTAGTATTATGCAGTCTGATTCTTAAATATAAATTCACAAATCATTATCAAAAATAATGATACAATAACACATCACATATTTCAACAAACTACCATTAACACAAAATCACTAACATTTTTAAATAAAATGGGTGGTTAAAGAAAGTAATATTTGATTTCTTTGTGAATTGGTAAACTATTAGGCTACCAATTTTGAGGCTTATCTTTTCCTTTATTTTACTTCTAAACTCATTTCTGGTACTATCTCAACAGATAAAACAACAAATTTCTCATGTTATTATTTCTATTAATAAAGGTACATATAATAATAATGTACCTTTAATAATAATGTACCTGTACATTTATAATAATAAAGGTATATATACATAGCAGGGGATGGTTTGTTGTTTGGGTTTCAGCAGTTCATTTTTAAAGAGACAACCAATGCTCACTGGGAAAGAAAAATTCTAGTACTGGTAAAATTTTTTCCTTTTTTTTTTTGGCCTCAGTACTATGTAGCTTATTAGCCTGGTATATTGTAAAATGAAACTAGAAGGGCAAACATGAAATAGGAGACTAGTTTCTGTTTATACTAAGTATTAATACATGAAGTGTTACTTTGCTATAAGCTACAAACACATATAATTTAAATATACTTAATAGTACCTGAAGGAAACACAGATTTGAAGGCAAATTTTATATATTTTTCTTCAATTAAGAAGAAAACAGACAACTGGTTGTTCTAGATTGGGTTTTCTCATATAGTTAGGATTTACCTGGAAAGCCTTTACTTTCAACTTTTTTAGAAAACTCCTTGAAAGATACTGGTACATTTTCTTGCCTTGGCAAATACCACACAATATGTCAAAAGTCCAACATTACAGATATAATTTAACTCTAATTTAAAGATTCTTCGATGATTGAGATGTATTCAGTCCTAGGGAATCATCATTCTGAATAACAATTCTCAGTCTAGAATACATTAGCTGAGGAAATATAAGTCACAGTAATGGTACTAGACTCAATATATCCTCATCCCAGGACTAGCTTATAAGAATACAAACACCCCTTAACTGGGTTATGGGTATCATATACCATAAATTCTTAGAAATGAAAAGTTAAAGTATTTAGTACTGGTATGGCAAGGCACCCACCAATCAGAATGAATACTGACAATTTGAACCAACACTGGTTGGAAACAGCCAATAACGGGAAACACCAATGAACAGCTCTGGACTATCTATATTTTAATATGCAAAACAAATATGATAATATATAATCCTTCAAATGTAGCAAATGAATAGTATTTGCAAGCCAATTGAAATAAAGTACATAAACATTTAAATAAGGACAACTTACCTGAGCAGTTTAACCAAAACGCAGAAGTGAATGAACATCCCAAATGTGGAAAACAATATTTTTTGCAAATCCTTTCTTCACTGCACCAAATACACTGCATTTGGAAAGGAAAAAAATTAAAGCAGCGTTCAAGTATAATAACCACAATCCCCTAGTAAGCTTTTTAGTACTAATTCAATAAGTATTCAATAAATAATAGCCATCATCATCTTTACTATTTTATAATTATTATTTGTAGTAGATGTCCTTAGTGGCTGCCTCTGAGTAAATTGCCCTTAGCTTCAGTGAGTGTTGGCTGCCAATGGCTCACAGCCTGCTCTCTTTTTTTTTTTTTTTTTTTTTGAGACAGAGTCTCACTCTGTTGCTCAGGCTAGATGGCCGTGGCGTCAGCCTAGCTCACAGCAACCTCAAATTCCTGGGCTCAAGCAATTCTCCTGCCTCAGCCTCCCAAGTAGCTGGGACTACAGGCATGTGCCACCATGCCCGGCTAATTTATATATATATATTTTTTCTTTTCTTTTCTTTTTCAGTTGTCCAGCTAATTTCTTTCTATTGTTTTAGTAGAGACGGGGGTCTAGCTCTTGCTCAGGCTTGTCTCAAACTCCTGACCTCAAACCATCTGCCCACCTCAGCCTTCCAGAGTGCTAGGATTACAGGCGTGAGCCACCACACCCGGCCGTCTCTTCTTGAATGATTGCCTGCAGTGGATGGGAATCACCTAGCCCATGAGGTTACCATTTCCCTAGGCCAGTGACTGACTGATACAGGTTTCCAAACAGTGGCATCCTTGCTATATGATATTTTGCTCAAGGGCTGCCCATGTTTCAGGCCAAGTATAGGCTTTAGCCAAGACCTCATCTTTTCTTGGCTCTTGTCCTTTATCCTCCCTGAGACTCTCACTCCTTCATAGGATTTTGCTGAAGAGCAGTCACTCAAAAATCACACGCACCTGAACCGCTTTCTCAGACTCTGTTTTTATGGAACTAAAGAAAGACAGTATTTCACAAAGTAGTAATAAGGACTGCAGTAGATAGTTTTTTAGATCTCTCCTACACCATTTCCCACTCACCTTGTCTGCAGCACCCCCTCTTTCCTCTGGGCTTCCTCCTCTGTTGCACATGGCCCCGGTGGTGCTATCAACAGGCCTTACCTCACCCACCTTCACTCATATAATCACATGGAAATAGAAACACTGAATTTCAAGTCACTTGTTGAAGTAAGCAAAAGCACAAATGTGAAAAGCACTGTGGCAGTTAAGACTAGAACCTGGAAGAGTCAAAACATGCAGACAGAGTGGTAAAAACTGGCTGTCAGTTACATAGGGCCTACCATGTGACAGGTCCTGTTCTAAGCCCTTCGTATGTATATTAACTCATTTCATCTTATGACAACCCTGTGAGCTAGGTACTGTTACGTCCACTTTACAGATGAGGACAATAGGGCACAGAGCAGTTAAATGACTTGCATAAGGCCACACGCCTAGCAAATAGGGGAGCCTGGGTTCTAACCTAAGCAGCCAGGTTCTGTGCTGGAAATGAATCCTATAAGACTGATCCCAGACCCCTCCCAATCACTTCTTGCTATACGTCCTGAGACCAGCAGAGGTAATGATTTGCCCCAATGTATATAACCACCCCTTAGACACTGCCTGAGAGCAGGAGGTATATTCCAGGCCAGCTTTTGTTTCACATTGGCCAGGACTGAAGGCCAAGTCAAGCCATTAGCCAAATCTAAGATAGAAGATGCTTATGCTAAATGAGTCCCATCCTCCTGGACTGTTGCTGAAAGACCAGAACGGCAAAGATAAGGCCTGGATTCAAGGACTACAGCCCACAGAGACTTCTGGCATTGGTTTATTAGTACTGAGAGTTTCTAAGAATCAAGTCCATGGATTGCCAGGAAAAACCTGACAGTGGCAGAGAAAGGCTGTGGTTACTTAAGTGCTAAACTGATTCGCAGGCCCCAGTAACCAAGCCCACAGCAGGTGAGCTCCCAAGGCAGCGTAGTCCCCAGAAGAGACATTCTCCCCTATGCCTATCTCTGGTGGGGGCTCAGAGAACAGTGGAAAAGGGAGCTCCTTAGGGCCAAACCTGGGGCAGCCAGATTGGTGACCAACAACTCACAGTTCAGCCAGGAAAACTCAACATAAATTATAGGACTCTCTTTTCTGAATGAGAGTTTTTACTGTTGTTATCCTGCTTTCGGTCTTCTATTGAATAGTAGGTCTTTGGGAGTTGGTTTAACGATTGTATAGCTGACTTGCAGGAGGATGATGATGAAGAGTAGTGCACATCTCTCTGAGATTCCAGACCTGGAGCTGGGGCAGTAGCTGACCAACTCTGGGCAAGTACAATCAATTGAGGTTTAGTTGCATTATTTTGCCAGGAGCATTTTTTTTTAAATATGGGGATGGATAAAATAGAATATGCCTGTTCTGAAATGTCAAGGGTGAAATACAGTAGACTGAAGAAATTTACTTTTTTAATCCCTGTCTGTTCACGTGGCATCCCCATTTTTCTTCTGGTAATCACACCCTCTTTCTTTTGTGGACTTCCTCCCCCAATCCTGTGATGGGTAGCCCTGCAGCTATCAATCATCTTTGCCCCACATCTTCCCTACTATTGGAGTGGTTCTTTGAGCCAGGCAGTGTCCCAGTAACTAGTACTGGACCAGACAAGAAACCCAAGTAGGGCCAATCAGAATCTTCTTTGGAGTTATATATAGACATTGGGAGAAATCTGCTGGCAGCCAACCTCTTCCCCAGCTGTATGGAGAATGTCAATTAACCCTAGGAGAAAATGAAGACAATACACGAAAGGAGGCAGAGCTGAGAGATGAAAGGAAAGAGAGGAAAGGGAATGACATTATTTGGATTCAGCTGTGCATTAAGACAATGCCAGGCCCAAGTTTCCCAATTTTGTGAGCCAATGAATTCCCCTTTTTATTAAACTAGTTTGAGTTGGGTTTCTGTCACTACAAAAAGATAAGACTAATACCTTAACTAAGCCTAAAAAGTTATCAAAGTCCAGAACTTCACATTGTCCAGAGTAACAGTATAATATATTCAACATCTCTAAATTGGTAATGTATAATTTAAAACAAATTACATGGGTTTTTTTCTTGTAGCTAAGGAAGATGACCCATGTAAATATGAAGCCATGCCAATGTCAGCCTTTTAGGAATGAATGTGACAACTGAGAAGGCTTTACAGTGATGGTTACTATTGTTCCACAAGAAAACTAGAGTACACAGTTTAAGCTAGAACTCTATTTTATGAAGCTTATATGGACATCTAAATGGCTATTTTTATAAGAAAAAATTATTAAAATAAAAAAATACAAGGGGGAGAAATGGGCATTTATTGAAACCTTAAAATCTGTACCCCCATAATATGCCGAAATAAAAAAAAAAAAAAGGGAAATAAAGTACCATAAAAAAAAAAATACAGAAAGTGGGAAGGTATATAATAATGTTTAGTGGTTTGTTAACATTGTATAAAACAAATGGCTTAATATCACACTGGCAAAAAAATAGAAAATAAGTGTTATTGTGCAAAGGGGGATTTTAAAGTAGTGGGCATGTAGAGGATCAAAAGAGCATTTATGAGGTATTTATGAGCAAATGTTAAATAAGCAGGGATTACATGGATAGATAAGGCAATATTTTTGCTTTCTGGAGGATAACAATTTAATCAGTAGGTACAGTATGTATACACTTTACAAAGAAAAATATAAATCTCTAAATGGAAGAATATTATAATTTTAAAATGAGTGGAACAGATATAAAATATAATAGGAGCTAAGAAAAGAAAGTACTTCCAGTTAGAATGACTAGATAAGGGTTCTTTCAGGGAATAGACAGAATTTAGCTTAGGCCTTGAGGAACAGATAAAATCTGTATAGAAAATAGAAAGGTCTTAGACACAGAAGCTATAGAAATATGAAAGGGCAAATATTCATGGTGGCAGGAGTGAAAATCCGTCCTGGTGGTGTTTTGTGGAATAATTAGAAAAGGTAAACTCTCAGATTGTGATGGGTTCTCAATGCCACACTAGGAGTTTATGTTTTGTGTTTGACCTTAACAATGGGGATTCAACTGAATTATTTGGAGCTAAAAGGTGATGTGATAAAAATACTAATTTAAGATAATGAACAAAGCATTAGGAAAGAAGAAAAGAATGGACAGCAGATGGAGAAAAAGGAAGAGAAAGGAGCCAACGATTTCTAAAATTATGAGTCAGAAGAATAGTATCAGAAATAAAGAAAGATGTAAAGAAAAGGAACTTCCTTAGGGAAAGCAAAAAATTAAATTTAGTTATAGAAATGTGAGCCTGAGTTGTCAAAAACTATCCAAGAAGAAATGTCAATTAAGCTCCTTGTGAGTGTGACTATTAGGGGGTTATTAGGTCTATAGATTTGATTTTGGGATTTCTTCATGTGCAGGTTATGGTAGAGGCTGGGACTGTAAGTGAGATAGCACAGGGGTGAGATCACAGTAAGAGATGTTCTTGTTGAGGAATGTGAAGAGGAGGAATTGATAAAGGAAAACAGAATGGTGAGGGAAGGAGCAGGGCCGTGTGCAAAGCCGAGATCACCAAGGAAGTTTCCAGAAGGAATGAGTGATTAATTTGAAAGGTCATTGTATTTGGTTATGGGGGAGTCTTCTGCAACCTCTAAATGAGTTTGCTAAGAATTAAATCATACTATGTGATAAGGAAGCAATGGTAGAATAAGTACTTTCACTACTAGAAAGAAACAAAAAGGTTTTGTTTTATTTATTCTTTCCATTTTGTCTGAACTAAGGAGGAAGCCAATGCACAGAAATAGACTGGATTTGTCATAGAGGGAACAAGGAAATTAGAAAGGTTCTGGGTTTGTGAATGTGCATGTATTTCTGAATATGACGCATCCACAGAGGCAAAGACTAAGGGATTAGCTTTAGAATGAGAACAGACTTCTCAAGGGGAAAGACAGTGTGAGAGGAAAGACATTGACTGGATTCAGATAAAAAATTAGGGAACTTGAACCTGAAAGATGGCCTTAAACTTCTCAAGGAAAATCAAACTCTGAAAGGGGGGGTCATGCCAAGAGCAGGTAAAATGTTGGGAATAGTTGCCATGGAAAATAATCCATGATACTGGTTGTCTGTATTTTTTTTTTTTTCAGCTGAAGGACTCTTGACAGGTGATATTCATATTCACAGGTTCGCTGGTATATCCAGATTCAGACCCATCACCATGTCCACCCTCCATTCCATTCCCCTACACACACATACTTTTCCAGAAAAACAAATATCAAAGTGGGCATCTTTGTGGGGTGTGAGGTCTGGCATTTATAAATGCACTTTACAAGCATGTGAGTAATGATCATTTCCTATAAACTGTGCAATAGACAAGGTGGGCTGTGGGAGATTCGACAAATCCTTTTGGGCTTGCTGTAACTTTACTCCTTTTTGTCCCAACCAATAATCAATCAGTACACAATGAATGAGAAAGAGGTGATTATGGAGAATCCCTAGAATCTACTCTGATTTGTTTTTTTAAAGTCAATTACAAAAGTCAGTCTTATAACTTTCATGAGTAAAAAAAAAAAAATTATTTAGGACAATTCTCACTATTGTACCACCATGATTGAGAACTATCAATCTAAGGATTCAACAGTGATCATAATGACCGAATAGCAATAAAAGCACAGATAAAGAAATGTTTAGCTTTTTTTAGTTAGTATTATTTTTGAAATTTTTTTTCTAATGGAAGAGAAGGTAACAGAAGGTAATAGTATGTTTTGCTTATACTATGTTTGAGTTGTGTGTTGAGGGGTGGGTAGTATTGTAAATTGGTTGCTTTTTATGGATTGGGTTTTGGTAATAATGTTTTCTAACTCTAGGAAGGCTAGTCCTATACTACTGAATCATAAAGAAATACTTCAGAGAGAATCTAGGAAGATTCTCTTATAGTTAAGGATAAACATGTAATTTATCATCCACCCAAACAGAAATATTTTGGAAAATTGAAAGGAATTGGTATGTGTAATTTCTCCAGGTCAATGGAGCAAGGGGCATGAAGTAGGACAGTCCCAGGTATACCAGGTCATCTATTCATCCTCCTTTTAGACCAAGAATTCAGATATTCTTGGTTGCTTCATGAATTGCCGCCTATAATCTTTGGCACTTTCTCTGTAAGTATGGGAAGCAGCAGAAACTCTCGTTGAAAGCTTGTGTCCTTCCAATGTCTGGGAGGGTAGGGGGTGGTCTTTTTCCAAAAGATGACACCCTAATTCTATGTTGATCATATGGAATTATTCTTTAGTTAATTTCTATGAGGTACTGGAAATATTTTTCAAATTCACTCAAATACAAATATTCCCAGGATTACCATAATGGCTAATGTTTGGAAATTTTTCAAATAAAATTTCCTAACTTGTTACATTATACAGTACATTCAATTGTAATTAACCTTCTTCTAATGGCTCAAGAGTTAATTCAATAGTTAATGATTGTCACGTGCTAGGAAATGTATGAGGTGTTAGAGATGCAAAGATGAATAAAACACTGAGTCTGCCCTCAAGGAACTGAGAACAGGGGAAAGTAAACATAAAAACAATTTATATTATATAAGTTGCAATTTAAAAATGTACATGTTCGAGTCCAAAAGAGAGAGGAATTTGAGGAGGCATTCTTCCTGTAAGAGGAAGGGTAAGAATGGGGAATGATGGGTAAAAATGACAGTTATTTTATCAGTTTGGGGGGTGAAGTTTACACCTAGAGCTTCTATTTTCATCCATAAAATCAGAGACAAAGTCATTTGTTAAGATAGATGGGGTGTGGGAATTGCTGCTGTGGAGAATTTTAGGAAATGTTGCTAATCAAAAGCAAATATTCAGTAATACTTGGGAGCAGGTGAAATCAGAAATTGTGACTTTGTGATTGTACAAAGGCAGACTTTGATGCAATATGCTTGAGCAACAATCAGCTAATAATGCATAACAAATGAAAAGATAAACCAAAGGAGCACTCAGAGCTGCAGAATGTAGATCCAGCACAAACAAATAAGAGGGCAAAACCATTACAGTAGTGGTGGTTTTTGCAACTCCCAAGGAAATAGTGGGTCTAGGCAAGGATCATCAGTGGCGGCTAATATCACCAAATGCTAGACAACAGACCTTGTTGACCTCCTAATGAAGGTCCTCAGCATAAAGTATACCTACCAAAACATTAAACGGAATCCAATCAAGCCTGCATACCTAAGTATCAGTTTATAAGACCAGAAGAACAGGCAAAAGAGGAACATGATAAAGTATATCAGAAGGATGTGCCCAGTAAAATACAGACTGTGAAAACTCAGTAGAACAAACAATCCAGCTTTTTGCAACAAATAAATTGCAATAAAGAAAAAAGAGAGGGAGAAAGAATATATGGATTAAAACAGACCTAGGGTATATATGAGCCAATTGCAATGTATGGATCTGATTCAAACAAACAAAAATATGAAACAATAAGACAAATTATTTCCTGAGTGCTTGATAATATTAAGTTACTGTTAAATTTAGGTATGATCATGGACTTGTAATATGTTTAAGTAAATTATCTGTTAGATAATTTATACTGAAGTATTATAAATAAAATGATATGGTATAAAACAAGCCTATTGAGGCAGGGAGAACATACATGAAACAAAGTTAGTCATGATGTCCCATTACTAGCCAACTACCCCAAGGAATAAAAGACATTCTATAAAAAAGACATCTGCACTTGAATGTTTATAGCAGCACAATTTCACAATTGCAAAGATGTGGAAACAACCCAAGTGCCCATCAATACATGAGTGGATTCATAAAATGTGGTATATGTATACCATGGAATTCTACTCAGCCATGAAAAACAATGGTGATCTAACACCTCTTGTATTATCCTGGATAGAGCTGGAGCCCATTCTGCCAAGTGAATTATCCCAAGAATGGAAAACAAGCACCACATGTACTCACTATCAAATTGGTATTAACTGATCAACACCTAAGTGGACATATAGTAATAACATTCATAGGGTGTCGGGCAGATGGGGGGAGAGGGGTGTATACACACCTAATGGGAACAGTGTGCACTATCTAGGGGAATAACATGCTTGAAGTTCTGACTTGGGTGGGGCAAAGGTAATACATGTAACCTAAACTTTTATACCCCTATAATATACTGAAATAAAAAAATGAGGTTGGCCAAGATGGATATTTGGGATATAAAATTTTATTGTAATGCTTTCCCTATTTTTATATTTGAAAATTTTCACTGCAAAACATTTAACCACAAAAAAAATAGAAGGAAAGGAATCGTAGGAGAGGGTCGGTACGCTGATGGTAAAGTTAGGGGGTTAGTGGACTGGGAGGTCTTGTCTTATTGAGACCAAAGAGTAGGTACAGTGTAAGGGACTGAGAAGGTAAGAGCTAATACCTATTGTGCAGGGTTCAGGTGCACCACAGAAGTGATGTCTTAGTGTCCAGGCCATCACTGGCAGTGGAAAGCATGTATAGTGATCGTAGGAACTGTGTGGAGAATTCCATGAGCCAGGAACTCAGATCCCCATTAAGGTAGAAAATAAGAAGAGGCAGAGAGGGTATATTTAGATCACTATGACGGATACCAGTTACAAGAGAGTGCCCTTTTCTAATTAGTGACATTGCATCTCTGTTTTCAGTGTTGTCAGTTCTCCAATACAGATAGACTAGAATGGTTTCATTAGGGTTGCTGTAAATCTCTGTGTGGCACAAAGTGGCTATTTCCCTCATTACTTACTGGTATTTCTGTTTTCTTCCATATCTGAAGTGAAGAATAATGGTTTCAGACATTTAATCATTAGAGAAGGGGACCTTAGCTACATTATAGTTAAGGAATGGTGTGTCATTATCTTTCTAGTCTTTAAAGATTAGAAGCGGCATGGAAGTTGTCACTGCATCTCAAAAGACACGTCTTTTCCTTTACATACAAAAAATTATTCCAAAATTTTGGTATAGTTTTTTTTCAAGCAGAGTCCTTTTGTCTTTGAAATATAATTTTCCAGACGGAAGTATGTTTGTACTAAGTTATTTCCATTGTTTATTTCTATATCCTCAAAGAATGGTTTGAAATGCAGAAATAGATCTTAATGACTGTTATTAGTCATTCCTGTTATAAAAAATTGTGTAAAACAAAGTTTAGCATATCTTTTAAATGATAATTGTAAATTGTGTGATTTTATAACATTCATAAGATAATTTCCTCATTAGAAAATTAACTTACTGCCTTATCTTCTGTACATGACTTACAATTCTTCTGTTCAGCACATGCTACAAGAAAAAAAATTAAGTACAAAATGTAAATTCAAAGCCTATTTATTGCTCAGTTTTATATTAAAATGCATTTCATTTAGTCATTCCTGTTTCAAGCCATATTCATCCATACTTTAGCATTTTACTTCATTATTTTCATGTATCTAGATACTTTTCCCACTAGTAGTATTTAAATCCTAACTCTTATCTTAATCCTGAATCTTCTTTCTTGTTACTTGGGAAATCATGAAATGACATCATCCAACTTTGACAAGTCAAGTTCTAAAAAACAACTTTCAAAACACAGTAAGGAAAAACAAATGGGCAACATCACTGTATATTTATTATAAAACATGAGACAGAGTCTCGCTTTGTTGTCCAGGCTAGAGTGAGTGTCGTGGCGTCAGCCTAGCTCACAGCAACCTCAAACTCCTGGGCTCGAGTGATCCTACTGCCTCAGCCTCCCAGGTAGCTGGGACTACGGCATGCGCCACCATGCCGGCTAATTTTTATATATATATCAGTGTGCCAATTAATTTCTTTCTATTTATAGTAGAGACGGGTCTCGCTCTTGCTCAGGCTGGTTTTGAACTCCTGACCTTGAGCAATCCGCCCACCTCGGCCTCCCAAGAGCTAGGATTACAGGCGTGAGCCACAGCGCCCGGCCTTAAAACATCATTTTTTAAAAACCTCTTTTAGTAAACACCTTTGTAACTCAGCATGGTTTTGACAAGATATTCCTAGTTAACTACTTAGTCCTTCAAATATTAAAAAAAGTAATTTCCTGTCCTGTTTTGCCACAGGCTTTAAAAGCATAACCTCCCAAAAGGATTTTTATTCCTTTTGTTTTGTGAAAAAGTAAACAGTATGACTTATATCTGAAAGTTCTAGAATAAAAACAATGAGTTTGGAAAGAAGCATTTTGATGGCTCAACTTATTACTGCAAAATTGCCTTTAAAAAGGGGTCTGGGTTTTTTCTTGCTGATTTTCATGAGTTCTAAGTATATTCTAGTTATCAGCCCCTTATCAGATGCATAGGATGCAAAAATTTTCTCTCATTCTGTAGGTTGTCTGTTTACTTTCATGACTATTTCTTTGACTGTGCAGAAGCTTTTTAGTTTGATCATGTCCCATTTATTTATTTTTGTTGCTGCTGTGATTGCCTTTGGGGACTTCTTCGTAAACTCTTTGCCTAGGTCGATGTCTAGGAGAGTGTTTCCAACATTTTCCTCTAGAATTCTAATAGTTTCATACCTTAGGTTTAAGTCTGTTATCCAGAGTGAGTTGATTTTTGTGAGAGGTGAAAGGTGTGGGTCCCTATTAAAAAGTGGGCAAAGGACTTGAGCAGAAACTTTTCTAAAGAAGACAGAAGAATGGCCAACAAACATATGAAAAAATGCTAAATATCTCTAATCATCAGGGAAATGCAAATCAAAACCACAATGAGATATCACTTAACTCCAGTGAGAATGGACTTTATCAAAAAGTCTCCAAACAGTAAATGCTGGCGTGGATGCGGAGAGAGAGGAACACTCCTACGCTGCTGGTGGGACTGCAAACTAGTTCAACCTCTGTGGAAAGCAATATGGGGATACCTTAAAGCGATACAAGTGAATCTACCATTTGATCCAGCAATCCCATTGCTGGGCTTCTACCCAAAAGATCCAATGACACTCTACAAAAAAGACACCTGCACTCGAATGTTTATAGCAGCACAATTCATAATTGCAAGGCTGTGGAAACAGCCCAAGTGCCCATCAATCCAAGAATGGATTAATAAAATGTGGTATATGTATACCATGGAGTACTATTCAGCTCTAAGAAACAATGGTGATATAGCACATCTTATATTTTCCTGGTTAGAGCTGGAACCCATACTACTAAGTGAATTGTTTGACTGGATGCAGATCTGATTGTGGAAAGAACTTACAATTCAGTTTTCAAATTAAGTCCTATTGAATGTCCTATTCCTCCTACCCAAAAGTCTCTCTGAAGTACCCATGGGAAAGTTGAGTGAAAGAAAAGGCAAGGTAAATGGGAAAGATTCCGTTGCCTCAGCTGTGTCGAGGACAGCTGGCCTCAGGCTTCCTTCAGGAGGCAGGAGCAGGGAAACAAAAGGCACATGGCTTGGCCACCATTCTCCGAACTCTACTTGCTTCCCACAGATTTTTTTGTAAACTGAAGTTTTTATTTTGGAATAATTTCAGATTTATAGAAAAATTGTGAAGATTATACAGGGAGTTCCTGTATATCCCTCACTCAGTTTCCCCATTAGCTAATATCTTATACTACCATGGTACATTTATAAAAACTAAGAAACTAACATTGGCAGATTTTATTATAATTTCACCAGTTTTGATACTAATGCCCTTTTTTATTATTTCAGAATATTACAGGGATACAAATGTTTTGGCTACATGAATTACTTTTGTACAGTTTGAGTCAAAGTTATAAGTGTGCCCATCGCCAGGTAGTGTGCACTGTACCAGTTAGGTGTGATTTTACTCTTCCTTCCTCCCCTTCCACCTGCTTGATTACCACTGAGGTTTACTTCTGTATGTGCACATGAGTGTTGATGTCCTTTTTCTGTTCCAAGATCCCATCCAGGATGCCACATGTTTTCCCTGGTTTCTCAGTCTTTCCTTTTTTTTCATGACCTTGACCGTTTTGAGGAGTACTGGTCAGAAATTTTGTAGAAAGCCCCTCAGTTTGGATTTGTCTTATGTTTTCCCTCATGATCAGACTAGGGATATGAGTTTTGGCAAAGAACACTGCCCAGGTGAAGTTCCCTCCTCCTACACATTATGACAGCGAATGGCCTGATCTGGTTCCATAGCAGAGGTTTAGATCGAGCATTTGTATAACTAACTAGCAATCTCTTTAATAGTTATTCTTGCCTTTATCAGAAAACTAATGTGCTACATGAATCAGTAGGTTCTTTCTTTTCCCGTTTTATTCCCAAAGAAAGAAGTATTATACTAGCTATTTCCATGGCATTATCAGGTACCAGATTCTTTACCTAATGGCCTGGTGTTTGTGTGCTTGTTTTCTTTATGTTACTTCCTTCCTCTTGATTACATTTTTCATGACTTTTGCAGGATCATTCATTCTCTCCTACTTCTCTTGGAATATCTCTGGCCATTCTTGTTGAGCTTCCTTGACTAGTTCCACTTCTACCAGGGTGTAAAATGTTGTTACTCCATAAAGTCCATCCATGATCCTCTTCTCTTCTCTCATGAAGGATCACAATTTCAAATGCCTACAGATGACTGATATCAAAATATATTATACTAGATACCAAAACAAAACTTTTTTTGATTGGCATTATAATAAATTAATCAATTAATAATTTATAAAATAAGCTTTATCTGGATGAGAAATTTTTCCAAGAAAGCTAAGAGAAAAAAATAATGGGGAGTGGATAACAGGATTATATATTAAAATTCTCTATGCTGTATCTTTATTTGATCTGTGTATTTTTGATATAGGCATGTGAAGTAAGTCCATGTGGTTTTAAATCTGTCAAATGCTCTTTTTATTTCTATCAGCTTTTACTGCATTTATTTTAAAACTATGTTGTTAGGTGAATAAAGGTTCATAATATGTCATCTTGATGTGTTGTACTATATGTCAATATGGAATATCACTTATTCTTCTACTTAATGATTTTTGAATTAAATTCCATTTTATATATCAATATTGCTACACTTTCTTTTTCAGTAGCATTTGTAATGTATACCTTATTCCATGAATTTATTCATTGTTCCTTTATTTCCTCTATTGGTTTCAAAGACTTATATCCTATTTCTATTTTTGAGCTGCTACTTTAAAAATTTTGAGAAATATTTTATGTGCATTTCTGTTATCATCTAATAAGGATCTACATTATTTACCTACACAAGGATCCTGATATGTCTTTATTCTCCTCTTCCTCCTCATGCCATGAAACTATTAAATAGTAATTATTAGACTTATTATGTTTAAATTGCCATTGAATTATAGTTAATTATTTAGAATGAACTCTAGTTTTACTAGTTTCTTTTCCTCTTTCTTGAAACCAGTATTTTTTCTTTAGATTCATTTTGCTGGATGATATTCTTGAGTATTTTTTCCAGATGTCCATGAGTAATAAACACTACTCTTTAGGTATCATAATGTTTTTATTTTACATATTTTCTAGAGCATAGTTTGCTTAATCTATTTATATGTTCTAATTTTAAACCTATTTTCTGTAAATCTTTATTTCGTGATTTTCTCTCTTCTTCTTCTCTCCTCTCTCCTCCTGAAACTCCTGTCACACTGTTGGCATGAACTCCTCTCTCTTTTTCCTACATGCTCTATATATCTTGTTCTTCTCTATTGCATTCTGTAAGAATTCCATGGCTCAATCATTGCGCTTGCTAATTCACTCTTTAGCTGTGTTCATCTTGATTATGTTTTTAATTTCTAAGATCCTTAATCTTTTTTATAATAGTCTTATTTATAAAATAAATTATAAAATAACTATTTATAATGGTCTTTATAAATAGTTTTATTTCATGGGTATTTCTATGAAAATTATCTAATGACACATTTCTCAGAACTTATCCCTATCATTTAATGACACATGACTGTATAATGTTTGTTGGACACTTACCACATATCAGGTAGTATTCTGCATGTATAATATACATTAACTCATTTTATCCTGACTACAACCATTTGAGGAAGATACTATTTTATTCTTATTTTATTGATAAGGAAACTGTGATACAGTAAGTAAAAGCCTAGGAAGTAACAGAGCTGGGAGATAAGTTCAGGCAATCTGAGCTTGTTGCCCTTGATATCTGTGTTCTTGCGCTTCTCAGATGATATACATAGTGTCAGAGAGGCACAGCTAAGTATAGAAGCAACTATTCACTCAGATGGGGTGGATTAAGGAATGCATCATAGAAGAGGTGGAATTTGACCTAGGCCCCTCAATATCAAGATTCAGTTTTAGATTACAATTCAGCATAATTCCAAATCCCTTATTTCT